ATATATATATATATATATATATACAGACAACTACGAGTATAGCAACAAAGTTCTTAAATGTTTTCAAAATTCTTAATTGATAAAAACTACAATTAAAAATATCTTTTAAATCCATAATAACATACTCTAAATAGCCACATAAGTTACCTCTCTTGCTTAACGGGTAACTATTTTGAATCTTAGAGCGATCATGCACAAAATATATTAAAAAAAAACAACCAAAATTAACATAACTTACCTCCCTTGCAGAAGAAGTAAATGTATTGAATTTTGCGGTGTTCATGTACATATATCCGGTGACACTTAAGCTCTGAAAATGACCTTGGAGGAGATTGAAAGTACCTGGGAAACTAAAAATTATTTGAAAGTGTTGTAGGATCCACCTAATTCGCATAGTGGAGTACCGACCATATAAATATGGTTGTTACCGGGAAGAGAGGGAGGAATCAAGAGATTCAACCAGAGACTCTGCCCGACTGTGACTCAGTCAACACATTCTCCAGGAACGGTCTTACGAGGAATATACAAAAGACTATATGTAAATATTGTGTACACTTTCTTGCTTGAATACAAGCATTTTATTTATTTATTTATAAAACTGTTAAATAAGTGATATAAACAATTTTTACTACGTTAATAAATAAAAAAATGAATAAAATAAGAAACAAAAATAAAAACGAGCAATATAACTTGACCCAAATAAATAAACAAACGACTTCCGGTAAAATAACCGCCACAATAAAATACCCACAATGCACCACTAACCCGTAAATATATAAATAGCCGAGAAAAATAACAGCATATGTGGCCTGACGGTTGCATATAGCATGAAACAGACTCTAAGTATTGACTTCTATGTTCACTTTTATATTTACACACGCTCTATCTCTGATATTGAACACTTTATTCCATAAATATAGCACACCTTAAGACTATATTTGTTTATATATATATATATATATATATATATATATATATATATATATATATATATGTGTGTGTGTGTGTGTGCGTGTGTGTGTCTGTGTATGTATATATTTGTATTTGTGTGTACTTGTGTATGTATCTATTTGTTTATGTGTATGCGTGGGTATATATATAATTATAGTTATATATATATATATATATATATATATATATATATATATATATATATATATTTGTAATGATACCTGTTATATATGTGCTTGTTTATATATTTATGCGCTTGTATATGTATGAGTGTGTCAACTAATTACATATCTGCATGTGCGTATATACATATATATATGTGCGTTTGTATCTGTTTGTATATATATATATATATATATATATATATATATATATATATATATATATGGGTGTATGTGTGTATATCTTTGTATATATATATATATATATATATCTGTATATATTCGTGTCTTGGAATGCATCATCAATGCTAACTAAAATCTACTCTTGTTTGATAATATTTTTGTATAATTCCTTGAAGACTTAATAATCAACAGTTGTGTCTCGTTACATTTCAATCTTGTATGGACATTACAGTCCTTTATCGTCACTAAGATAATATTGTTAGAATATGTGTAGGTTTATATATATATATATATATATATATATATATATATATATATATATATAAAAGAAAGAACAGTAAGATATAAAATCCGGTGTTCTTAAAATATTTTTATTTTTACAAAATAGTCCTCAATGTAAATTTACAGAGCATTAATATTATAAATTAATTGATTTAAAATATGTTTTTAAAAGCATTAGTTCCATTTCATCTTCAAGCGAAATGGAACTAATGCTTTTAATTTAATTGCAAAATTAAATTCGGAGTTTTTAGCTTCTATTTTCGAAACATGGTTGGAACTGTGTAGCGAAAAAAAACATATTTTAAATCAATTAATTTATAATATATATATATATATATATATATATATATATATATATATATATGTATTACAATGAAGCATTCCTACAAAATGTAGATTAGTAAATGTCTTCGCTAACAAAATTTTGAAAGGTTCGTTAACCTACAATTCAATCGATGAATGTTATGATCCTTGTTTTTTAAAAATTTATAAGCTGTATAAGGTCTTTCTTTAATACGCAAGTACATTCAACTGTACATTCAGTCATCTTCAGACATGGAAATTATTTGGTTTTTGGTGAAATTCAGGTAGCATCCGAGACGAAAAAATATAATGCGAATCGAAATATGTTTTTTTGAAATGTGTTATTGATAACAGATACAAACTTCTGGAGCGTGAGTCGCAACGCTAAGGTTGAATTTTTTTTTTTGAAAATTTAAGAGAGTGCGTTTTTTTACTAATATGGGAATTTGAGAATTTTTTTTTTTTTGTAGGAGTTTATCAGTCAATGTGGCATGAACTAAATTGTTCAATGGAGTAATGTCTCAGTTGTTATCCCGCAGATTTGCACGTTGGATTTTGTAATATAAATTGAACTGCACTACATATTTGATTTAAAAGAACTGATCCGATGTATTTTTTTTATTTTCTTTCACACATTCTTATATATTTGTACTCGTGTATGTATACTAATACGTTATATATATATATATATATATATATATATATATATATATATATATATATATATTTCTGTGTTTAGGAGTTTTCTTTTTTATATATTAGTGTTATTTTTATGCGTATGTATTTATTTTTCTATCCATTTCTGTATATTTAGTGTCCTTTTTCCTCATGTTGTTCATTGACGAATATTTATTTTTTATCCTACTCATATTAAAATTTATCTATTCAACCATTTTTATCTATATATCTTTGCCCGTATAAGTTATATTTTAATAGTATGTTAGAATTCGTTTACTAATTTGAATATTTCTTGATGGATATGTGTGTGTGTCGTTATCAATGTATGTGTTTATAGCCGCTTATATGGGCCTTTCATTGTATGTATATGCTGTCGTTTTTTTTAAAAGGTCGAGAACATGTTTCCTGTCTCGTCGCTTTTTTTGCGTGTTTATATATTTAAATATGTCTACGTGTTTGTGCATTATATTCTGATTGCGTAAGTGTTATCTTTTGCAAGATTTCACCCTCCTTTGCCCATATCTTCACTTGAAATGTATCTAAGTTGTAACGGGGCTCAGAGCAACATTAATCGTTTTGTGTCAGCCCCACTGACTTCTCAACTGAACAATGGTGAGAGGAAAAATAATCATTCAGGCCATCAGTACTGGTAACAACGTAACCCTGGCTTCCATCTTCAAAATTCTTCAAAGAACCATCAAGAGAACGATGAATAAGTTTATAAAGGAGGGAACAGTAGAGAGGAAAACTGGTCACGACAGGGAGTGGGCTCAACTGAGAGCTAAACAGATCAATTAGATAGATCCAACTGAATCTATAAGACGTTTGGCATGTGATATAAGAGTTTCATCTATAAGCAGCGCAAAAAGACTTAAAAATGAAATCGTACGTGAAATGGGTGAGGCACATTGTTACTCCAGGACAGAACGTTAGAAAGATAGAGAGGGTGAAGATCATCTTGAATAAATTGGAAAATAATCCCGGAATAAAACACACACACACACACACACACACACACACACACACACACACATATATATATATATATATATATATATATATATATATATATATATATATATATATATAGTTTTAAGGTGTGCTATATATATATATATATATATATATATGAACTTTACTTCAAGCCTTTATGAGCTTCAGATCCTTAGCTATGATTAATTAATGATGAACATGTCATTTTCATTTATGATCGATTTCATCACGATCCTTCTGTTAAGCTTGGAGAATAATTACACATTCCTATTGCTCAAAGTAAAGCCCAATAGCGTCATAAAAACCTGAGAGAATTTCAGTAAGATATCTTAAATTCTTTCTAAGAGACAACAATTCAAAAATTAATCTAGCAATTGAATAATTTGGCTGTTACTAGATTTGGACATTTAGACCCGGTATATATATATATATATATATATATATATATATATATATATATATATATATGTATGTGTGTGTGTGTGTGTGTGTGTGTGTGTGTGTGAGTGAAAATATATAGAAAATAGGAAGAAACTGGTTAGGTAAATAATCCAAAGTCCCTTAGTATTTTAGTTATTATTTTTAAAAAATAGTGCTCGATACAAAAGTAGAGCATAAATATAATTATTTATTTAAAAATATGATTCCAAATCGCGACATAAGAAGTCCCATGTTTCAAAACAAGAGCCGAAAACTTCAATATAATTATTTAAATTATTTAAATTAAATACCCTAAAAAAAAAAAAGATAACCCTTTATGAAGTCGTCAAAAAAACAAACGTTACGACAGTTTTTTTTTTTTTTTATATGCACAAATCACTTTCATAAAAAAAATAAAATCAAAAAATAAATAAATCTCCATAGACATGCAAACTAGACGAGGGTCAATACATCTTCCGTTTCAAATTTAGACACCCCCACCTTTCCCTGACTTGACATCTACGAAAGTAACTCTATACTGATACTTATTATTAACACCCAACTCCCGCCTACCCAACTTAAACAATTCGACTTAGCTGTTACCATGGAAATTTTGATTTCAATTTTTAAAACACGTAAATTTCAGAAACACGTTATTCCAAAAAAAAAATTCGCTTGAAGATGGAACAGAGCTTATTTTAACTCAATTTAATTTAAATAATTATATTGAAGTTTTCGGCTCTTGTTTTGAAACATGGGACTTCTTATGTCGCGATTTGGAATCATATTTTTAAATAAATAATTATATATATATATATATATATATATATATATATATATATATATATATATATATGGGTGGGTGTGTTTATTTTCTATATTCATTTGGTCATTATATATCTATTATATATCTATTGGTCTGGTGTGATGGTTAACAATCCTGACACAGTAAATCACTTTGATTGAGTCGGAAGTTGGGTCCTTACTGGTGTCCCATATTTGTGGCCTTTTGCCACATATAAGCTTTACTTAGTAAATCGCTATATCCATCCATGTACAAACTTTATCTCTCTCCCCGCCCCTCACCCATCTCTCTCTCTCTCTCTCTCTCTCTCTCTCTCTCTCTCTCAATGCAGATAGATAGATAGATAGATAGATAGAGATAGATAGATAGATAGATAGATAGATAGAACATAGATAGATAGATAGATAGATAGATAGATAGATAGATAGATAGATAGATAGATAGATATTTAACAGACTGACATAGATAGATAGATAGATAGATGAATAGATATTTAATAGATAGATAGATAGATAGATAGATAGATGATTAACAGCCTGAGATAGATAGATAGATAGATAGATGAATATTTAGACTGACATAGATAGATAGATAGATAGATAGATAGATAGATAGATGAAGAATATTTAACAGCCTGAGATAGAGATAGATAGATAGATAGATAGATATGATAGATAGATATTTAACAGACTGACATAGATAGATAGATAGATAGATAGATAGACTTGGGTGCCTGTGTGGATGCGCATCTTCGTTATCAATCTATAATCTTTTGTTGTTTCTCGCGGCGACTGAAATAGTAATGATGTCGCCCTTCTTACGAAACCTCGCGATTCGCCTTCAGATGAATACCACGTCATTGTCGCTCTACATTTTTAAAGTTTGCACAATTTTCTATCCCTAAAAATGTCTCAACATAATCTTGTCTTCGTCGTACATTCCTGTACTTGTACAATCTGCCGTCTGCATCTCCCAATTTGGGATTATTCAACTCTATATGTCTTGAAATCGATTTCATTCATCGATTTTTCGCGCCGAGAGGCATGAAGACTTTTTCGGTGCCAGGGCTGACGAAAACTTTAATATGATGTGAAATTCTTTTATTATTTACTTATTTGTTAGGAATCGAATTAAAATAAGAAAATTGTAATTCTGAATGTCACCCCTGGCCTAACCATTCAAATATTCGTTCTCTTCAGTTCTTTGCGGTGAGTCTTCGGAATTTATGTTTGCCCTTCGGCAGAAAACATGGGACGAAATTTTGACGGGGAGGAGCGGTGAACCATGCGTAAAATATGCAAAAAGACATGGTTAAAGAATAAAAAGGGAAAGTAAAAATCAAGTTAGACATTTCTTTGTAACGGTTAGATCATGAAATATGAATATTGTCAAAGAGAAGGAACAAGAATAAGCCGAGGAAGAAGAACAGAAAAAGAGGGTATAAAGAGGGGTAACAGCATAACGTGAAGTTGGGAAGAGAATTCTGGAGAACCGTTGTGCCTACTTCGTTGCCTTTTGTTACTTTCTCCTTTTAGAGAATATGAGACAGGCAAGTCAATAATTATAAACGGACTGAAGAAAAGAAAATATGATGGATAGACATAGGGAGGTACTGTAAGCAGATGGACACAAGACGGTTAAAACAGAATGAAATAGAGAGATAGGTAAACATTACGAGGGACAGAAAACATATTATCGTGATATATACAAATTATGAGTGATTGTGGTAAAAACAATTGAAGGGAGATGCTTATAGAGAGATAAATGAACATACTGAGATAGAGAAAACATAGATAGATTACGATAGACAGATAGAAACATGAACAGATGAACAGACATGATAGATATTAAATACAAATTATAGATAGATTGATAGATAGATAGATATGAACAGATAGATATAGGAGATGCTTATATAGAGAATATAAATATAGATGAACATAGATAGATAGATAGATAGATAGATAGATAGATAGATAGATAGATAGATAGATAGATAGATAGATAGATAGATAATGAACAGACATAGATAGATATTGAACAGACTGACATAGATATGAATGAACAGATAGAGATGAACAAATTTAGATAGATAGATAAGATAGATATTGAACAGATAGATAGATAGATAGATAATGAACAGACATAGATAGATATTGAACAAATTTAGATAGATAGATAATAAATAGATATTGAGACTTAGATAGATAGATGAACAGACATAGATAGATATTGAACAAATTTAGATAGATAGATAATGAACAGACATAGATAGATATTGAACAGACTTAGATAGATAGATAGATAGATAGATAGATAGATAGATAGATGAAGATGGATAGATAATAGAATAGACATGATAGATGAAATATGAACAGACATAGATAGATATTGAAAAGACAGAGATAGATAGATAGATAGATAGATAGATAGATAGATAGATAGATAATGAACAGACATAGATAGATATTGAACAGACTGAGATAGATAGATAGGTAATGAACAGACATAGATAGATATTGAACAAATTTAGATAGATAGATAATGAACAGACATAGATAGATATTGAACAGACTTAGATAGATAGATAGGTAATGAACAGACATAGATAGATATTGAACAAATTTAGATAGATAGATAACATAGATATTGAACAGACTTAGATAGATGAATAGGTAATGAACAGACATAGATAGATAGATGAATAATGAACAGACATAGAGATAGATAGATAGATAGATAGATAGATAGAACAGACAGATAGATAGATAGATAGATAGATAATGAATGATAGATAGATAATGAACAGAGACATAGATAGATGACAGAGATATTGAACAGATAGATAGATAGATAGATATGAACAGAGATAGATAGAGATAGATGAGATAGATAAATGAACAGACATAGATAGATATTGAACAAATTTAGATAGATAGATTGAACAGAATAGATAGAGACTTAAAGAAATGGGTAATGAACAGAAAAGATAGAAATTGAACAAATTTAGATAGAAATAAAAGACATAATATTGAACAGACTTAGATAGATAGATAGATAATAGATAGATAAAGATGATAAAACAGACATAGATAGATATTAAACCTGATAGATAGATAGATAGATAGATAGATAGAAAAACTGAACAGAATGAGAAAGAAAGAAAGAAAGAAAGAAAGAAAGAAAGAAAGAAAGAAAGAAAGAAAGAAAGAAAGAAAAACTTGTTTTAATAAAGTGAAAAAGACTTAAAGCCTGAATCGGAAGTTGAAAAACAAAATAAGATAGAAAAATTGAGAGAAAAATGAGAGAGATGAAGAGAAAAATAGTGAAGGAGTTAAAAGAGTAAAAGTTTTATAGACAGAACATGTGTAAGAGAAAGAATATTATATCTTTATTCGTTTATGGAAATTGAATTTAGAATAGAACTTCTTCACAAAGGGCAAGACTTTATTTCATTAGTCATTTATTAGTTTGTTTTTTTCGTTTTCCTTCCATTCATCAAGTTTAGCTGACTCCGAATTGAATCGAAGCCAATATTAAAAAAAAAAAAAAAAAAAAACGCGAAAGAATGTTAAAACGAACGATATTGGGAATAAAAGACTAATCGAATATAGAAACGAACGAATGAATTAGCGAACGAATGAATGAATAGATAAATGAATGTGAAGTAGGGTAGTGATAAAATTCATTTACCGATTCGTTTCTCTGAGATTTTGAAAGAAACCGAAGAAAGAATTAAATAAAGATAAAATTAAACAAACAACGAATTCTATCATCTCGTACTCTAAGCCTCGTGGCTTTTTTTTTTTAACCATAATCCTCACTTGTGTAAAATCAATACAAATTCTTTCTTTGCCGATTTTAAACTAGTTATTTAAACTTGTTTAGTAAAGGAATTGTGTATTTTGTTTTTCCTTTTAAATCATTTTAAGTTTTTGAATAGTTAAGTATCGAGCTTTATATCAGAATTTAAAGAAAAATGGTTCATATTTTTTTGCTTTTTAACTGAAAACAGAGTGGACCAATATTTCTGTCTGGACATATTTAATAATAATAAATAATACAAGGAAGATAGACATATCTGGGTAAGGGAAGTCGTGATTGCGCATGCGTGTGTTTTGCTTGGTGTCTTCCACTAAGCCATAGTGAATGCATTTAAAATGTTCAGTATCTTTCTGTTCCCTCAGCTGTATCCCTACTCGTCACATTTTCATTTTTAATTGTTTCTTAGTTTTACCTTCTTTATCAATATATGATTTTTTTTGTTTCGCTTTTCAATTCATTTCCGATTTGTAATCCACGTTTATTCATTAATGATATTTTTTTCTAGTTTTTCATATTTCAGATTTTTAAATAAAACAATCCTCATAAGCATGTTTTACTTTTATTTAATATATTTTCTTTTAAGTTATATTTATCAATCTTTCTGTCTATCTACATTCCTGTCCATCTTGTTATTGTTGTTCATAATTCCCGTCACAAGCCATTTCTTCATATTATTAACAATTTCTCTTTTCATCTATCTATCTATCTATCTATCTATCTATTTTAGTCTGTTAAATATCTATCTATCTATCTATATCTATCTAACCTTCTTGGGACATGAGACTGGGGACGAGCACAACTGGTCGCGACTCACCTTGTCCCCATAAAAAAAAGAGCCCGTATTTGCTTAGCATGTAAAGCTACTGCAGTTGAAATTTTTCTGACGTAATCCATCCTGCCAGATAACATAAAAGAATGAGGGGACTGGCATCGCATTTTATCCAATAACGATGCAATGCATTATGGGACATGGACGCAATGCATTATGGGACATGGACGCAATGAATTATGGGATCACAGGAAGACGCAAGGGATTATGGGTACATGAACAACTATAAAAACAACTACTTTTTTCCAAGTCGAGTTCTTCGAGGACGTTCACGGTTTAGAACGGGCAGTTAGTGATTTGGAGACAGAACTCAGGAAGGAACGACTCAAGTTTGAAATACCAGTTGGGAGTTTGAATTTACTCGCTGGTTACTGTTTTCTTCATCAAGCTATTTCGGCATATTATTCTTCAAAATGGAAGGCAAAAGTCTTTGACGTCCGTTTGATTCAGAATTCAGCGGCGCCCCAACGGATATGCCCATTGTTGAATGGATAGAAAATTCTATGGACTAGCGCATCTTGCCTTTACGACTTCGAGGCTATGTATATAGACAACTCTGGAGAGATAGAGGGCAGACGCGGAACAAATTAAACGGGCCCTCATGACTGCATACGCGACTGACAAATTTAATGCGTTCGACCAATTTTCGGCGTCTTTTGTGGATGAATTCCTGGCTTGCATCTAGGAGAATACCTGATCGGTGGATGGCATGTGCATTTGTGTCAGGACTGCCTACATCATGTTAGGCAGCTTCTCAAAGCTTCTTCCAGGATGGACGACATGAATCTAGAACAGATTCTGACCGGCAAGGGCTATTATGACGGACATTAAGGGTGCCAGGTATTGGCCGCCACAGCCAAACCTGTTAGCAGAACGATTACCTGCTACAAGTGCTCTGGACCCAACCATATACACAAGGACGTCAGGAGAATCAAACAGAACGTAGAGGTCTTTTTCGATTTTTTCTCTGATGAAGAAATTAACCAATTTTCTTTCATCTGTGTGATTTTATTTACTTGCCTTGTCTATTTGTAGCATGTAAATACTGCAGTTGAAATGAGGAGAAAAAGCGAATGACGTAATTCCTACATAAAAAAAGAATGAGGGGGACTGGTATTTTTTAATACGCAATGCATTATCAATGCATTATCTATAGGGAAGACGCAAAGGGATTTCTACATTATTTTTTTCCAATCGAGTTCTTCGAGGGATCACGGTTAGCTAGAACGGGCTGATTTTCAAGTTTGAAATATGAATTTACTCGCTGGTTACTTTTTTTTCTTCATTCGCCCTCAGTCTCTCTTTTTTTCTCTAATATCTATCTTGTCTATTGATTCATATTTATCTATGCCCATGCATTTCTATATATCTGAAAGAATAATTTGGCTGCTCCAGAATTTTTATTTTTGTCGATTCGTTTTTAACAGCGTTTCTACCAATAATATATGTCTGTTCTAAAGTGATAATTTTTTTTCTGTATAATTTCTCTATAGCTATAGAGCATTTCTTAATATAAGAATAAATAAGTGTATCTCATGTGACGTATGCTTTCATAATGAATTACAAAACCGTTTGTTCGTAAAATACTTTAAAAATATGAGATATGTGGAAGTGGTAGACTTCTGTTGACACCTCATAATTTACGATGAACTGAGGGATTATCTATCTATCTATCTATCTATCTATCTATCTATCTATCTATCTATCTATATATATATATATATATGTGTGTGTGTGTGTGTGTGTGTGTGTGCTTTTACGGAAATTGCTTTAAAAATAAGATATGTGTAAGTGGTCGAATTCTGTTGACACCTCATAATTTACGATGAACTGAGGATGATTATCTATCTATCTATCTATCTATATATATATATATATATATATGTGTGTGTGTGTGTGTGTGTGTGTGTGTGTGTGTGTGTGTGTGTGTGTGCGTGCGTGTGTGTGTGTAAGCGTGAGCGGTATTTAGCGAAAAGTGCTCAATATCCGTGATAGAGCTAATATATACGGTTGCATAGATGGTAGAAACATCATATCTACAGAGAGAAGCACAACTTAAATCACGTGATTGTAGTAGACGGAGATCAATGAGTCTGCATATGTGTGTATGTGTTAATGCGCCTACATATGTGTATATGTGTGAGTTCATGTGAGTATGTCTGCCGGTGCAAACAGCCGGCCTGAAAAACGTCAAAGCCATCCCAACCTGTGCCCTACTAAGAGAACATTGCTGCATATGAATCAATACAATCTTGACACCGAAATAGACAGAATGAAAGTTGTGTAACTACGCCTAATCCAAAATTATGAATATGGGTGTGTATGTACGAACGTGCTTACGCCTGCATGGATGTGTGTCTGTGTATATATGTGTGACATCCAAAACAAACACAAAAACGCCCCCCTACCCCCACACAAATAATCAAACACAAATAAAACATAAATAAATCCACTTTTGAAAAAATAAACCAGTTTGTCTGAAGATCGCGAAAGCGTGAAAATCGGTGTTAAAAACTACTACCCATGCAATCGCATATATATATATATATATATATATATATGTATGTATATATATAAAAATAAATATGTGGTGCAGTTCAATTTATATTACAATGAATCATTCATACAAAAAGTAGATTAGTAAAGTTAATCATAGAAAACGGCGAAATCACTTCGCAAACAAAATTTTAAAGTTGCATTAACCTACGACCCACTCGATGAATGTTATGATCCTTGTTTATAATAACTACAAGCTGTATGAGTTCTTTTTTTAATTTGCAAGTACTTTCAACTGTACATTCAGTCATCCTCAGTCACGACTGAATGTACATTTGAAAGTACTTATACAGCTTGCAGTTATTTTAAACAAGGATCATTACGATAATCAGTATTTCGTAGGTTAATGCAACTTTAAATTTGTTGGAAAGGATTTCGCCATTTTATATCATTAACTTTTTTAATCTACTTTTTTGTATGAATATGTAATATAAATTGAACTTTCCCAAATTTTATTTAAAAGAACTGATCCGACGTGCAAATTTTCGGGATAACAACGGAGACATTACTCTATTCATTGAACAATTGAGTTCATGCAACATTGACTGATAAACTCCTACAACAAAAAATTCTCAAATTAATATATTTGTAATAAACGCACTGTCTTAAATTTTCAAAAAAATTCAAACTTAGCGTTGCAACTGCACCCTCCAAAAGTTTTTATCCGTTAACAATAACACATTTCTAAAAAAAAAGAAGCATATTTCGATTCGCATTTAATTTTTCGTCCCTGATGCTACCTGGATTTTACTAAAAACAAATAATTGCCATGCATGAGGATGACTAAATGTACAGCCGAAAGTACTAGCAGAATAAAAAAAAAGACCTTATATAACTTGTAGTTATTAAAAACAAGGATCATAACATTCATCGAGTGGTTCGTAGGTTAATGCAATTTTATATCATTAACTTTACTAATCTACTTTTTGTATGAATGATTCATTGTAATATATATATATATATATATATATATATATATATATATATATAGTGACAGAGAGCGAGATTCTGTCTTTGCGTGTGCCTATATATATATATATATATATATATATATATATATATATATATATATATATGCAGTATTTCTTCAGTTAAACATGTCTCATTGAATAATATAGATATAATATGTCTCTTTGTTTTTATAATAATCCATTCTAGTTCTCGAATCAGTTTCTTCATGTTAAGAAGAAATTATAACAATCGCCTGTTTCTAAAAATTACTATCACAGCAATGGCAGTTACAAGTTTATCTTTATATATATATATATACAAGTTCCGATGGATAAACTGACCTTTAAATTACGCAAAAATGAAAATAACGCTGACATCTCATTTTAACATACATATTTACAAAAGTTAAGAAGCAAATATGTTTTGCAATACTAAAGAGTAAATTTATTCAATAAAATCGCCATTGGCCTTAGCCACGGCCTCAAGATGACTTCGGAATCTCCTGCCTCTCTTCTGGACCGTCTCCTTGATTAATTTGGTGAATTCTGATATAATCCCCTCCTTCAGTTCATCTTTGGTATTCCAAGGAGTTTTGTTGGTCTCTTTTTGCACCCCACTCATAATAATCAAAGGGGTTGCAGTCTGGGAGATATGTTGCCAGATGTCTGACTGATGCCATGACTGGTTTTTCCTGCTTGTGCACAGTCCTGTTTCTAGATATTGGGTCTTTCAGCAGCCAAGCTCATGACGCACTGAACCACTAACGCCTCCGGTCAGTTGACATAATCCACCGTGTTGAGTTTGAGCCTTTCACATAAAAAGCTGGGTGTTCTTTTCTTATCTGAACGATCAGAGTGAGTTTTCCGAGTTACCATACCTTCGTAATCACCATTAAACTCATCCAACTCTTTTTAAATCCACTTCACTATTCTCAGATTGACACCCAAT